TACACCGTAAACTCTAATTATCATGCAATTTAGGCCCTCTACTTCCTGAATCCTAAACCCCCCCCCTTAGGCAGAGGCCCCTACATCGTCAAGCTTGGGAAATACTTTGAGAGCTGAGCGCACCGCAGGAGAAGCTTCTGAAGAAGGGCGAGGCAAGGAATCATGGTCGCTTCCTTGAAGGGCCCTTTGAGGGTTGCTTTATGGGTTCTGTTAGGGTTTCATGATTGGTCATCTGAAGGGTTCATAAGGCTTTGGTGTAAAGGCATGTTAAGGTGTATAGAACTTAAACGCGCTGACGATCATCGGTGGTATACGTAGTCCCTCCTGAATCGTATTTCGTTGGTTAGTTAGTTTATGACTAGGAGTTAGGATCCACTTAGATGTTTGGAAACGATTTGCATAAGCAGGAAAAAATCACTCTGCAAGGTGTCAAAAACATGCATTGTCAAGCCTTTATGAACCCCCCGTAATGAGCGGCATGGAACCCCTATGCGACCCTTAACAACGAATGCGCAGAAAATCCTGGACTTGTAGAGCTCCTCTGAACCCCGAACCCTATTTGGAAGATCATGGGACTTTGTAAGCAAGATCATGTGTATAATTTTGTTTACAAGTAGCTACAACAGTACGGTTACTCTGTTTCTGACCCACCCTAAACCACTAAGTCCAGTAAACCTTGTACCTTAAACATTAACCCTAAACCCTCAACTGCTAAACCACTAAGTCCCATGATCTTTTTAGTAAACCCCGTCAACAAGGGAGTCTCTCCAGCGGGCCACGACCGTGAGAAAGGTCGAGAAGTGGATGTCGGAGGAGGAAGCCTTGTCCAAATAGCCGGAGGACGAGCTCGAAGCCCATTGCCAGTCGGGCAGAGTGCAATGGAGGGAAAGTCCGACCACTTCTGGGGCTTACGAATACCGTGAACGACGACTTGAAAGAGACGACTGGAAGGAGATCTCGCAACTGGTCCCGTGCTCGTTGAACTTCTGGGCATCTTCGGAAGATTGACGTCAAGGATTTGAAGACTTATTTGATATTCTAACTACGATAAGTACGATCATACATTTTGTTAACTGAGCAATATTGTATTATACCATATTTTACTATACAGTAGTATAGTATTAATATGTCATGATATTTTGTGACATTATAGGCCGTGGGGTCTACCCTATGCACCCATAACCTGCTTTTTTATTTTTATTATTTTGTAGGTTTAGAGTACACGCCAGAACAAAGAGAGTACTGGAATCCTACAGGCAAGTAGCTTCTGGTTGGTGGCGGGTAGGGTGTGGGTCACTGGCTTAGAGTTGGGATTTGTCCTGACATCTTCAAGACCATCAATGCCGTTTGGGTTCAGCGTGGCGTCGTTGAGGACCTAATAGTCTGAGGTATTTGGGTTCGGGTAGTAGCTATGTTTCAACCTTGGAGGAGTATATGATGATCAGGTACTTGGACCCTCAGGGTTAAGGTTGCTAATATAGAAGCCTAAATAAGTACCTCTACTATTTGGGGTTGCTTATTCGAGCGGTAGTATAATATACCCCCAAAACCCTAAGGCCTCTACATTATATACAGCAATCCTGTCTGAAGAAGGAAGTCGTAGTGACAGCAAGAAGCCCAACCAACACAGAAGCCCTCGACCCACCAGGCCTTCCTCAAACTACCATTGCCATAGCGGTTTAGGGTTTAGGGTTTAGGGTCCAGGGTTTAGGGTTTGGTAGGTTCTTATTTTGAGAAAATAGACTTTATCGGGACCGTACAAAAACGTAGGTCATTGTAGGCTAGGGTGCTGCATGTATTGCTTACTGTAGCGTGGGTAGTGCAGATTGGACGTCAGTGTGGCTTTCAGAGGTTTCCATATGTTGACAGGTTGCATCCCGTTCTCGATAGGCGAGATGTGAGAGCTGCAAGCCTGCTTTAGTGTCTTAGGAACTGTTTCAAGATCATAAGACTGCCTGGGGCTTTTCTGACAAAAGGTGTTTTTTGGGTTCTAAGAGCGCAGAAGCCCGGAACAATGAGTATCGGATTGCAGAGGAGGTCGAAGCACCTCACACCACGAATTTGGGGGGCCTTTTGAGCTGTATCTCCAAGTTAGAATCACATACAGTTCTCTCTTTATGCCTCTGTGTATATAAACTCACACACAAATGCATACATTCATTAGATCCACCACAGATTTTTGCCTTGCAACCAGGATGCCATGCAGAGGAAGGAGGAAGAAATCCGGAGTCTGAAAATCGACCTAGGGGAGGCGGGAAGCCGAAACCCTAAACCCTAAAACCCCTAAACCCTAAACCCTAAAATCCCTAAACCCTAAACCCTTATGGGGGAGTGTAGAGTGTGGGACTTTCGGGCTTTGGAGTCTTGGCAAAGAGGTTTGGGAAGGTCATGTTTTTTTGGGGCATTGAGGGTCTTTTGGGTTTAGGGCTTAAGGGTTTAAGGGTGTCTGGGTTTAGGGTTTAGGGTTTCTGGGTTTAGGGCTTCAGGGGTTTAGGGTTTAAGATTTTAAGGGTTTCTTGGTTTGTAGGTTTAGGGGTTTTGGGTTTAAGAGTTTAGGGTTTAAGGTTTTTTTTGGTTTAGGGTTTAGGGTTCAAGGGTTTTTGGGTTTAGGGTTTTTGGGTTCGGGATCAGAAATATACATCAAATCCCGATGCTAAAGAGTAAGTCCAGTTAAACCCTGTAACGACTACAAAAAACTTTCGAAGCCTGTAGCAAGTGGTGTTTAGGGTTTTAGGCATTCTTGGGGATTTGGCACCATCTATCCAGAGCAGGGGAAGGGGAAGGGTCCCCACAGGTGAGATATCCTGTCTTTTTACGGCTGGAGGCTGCTAGTAGTCGTCGTAATTGAAGCAACAATCCAGCAGCAATATTCTCAGAAATCGAGCTCCTTGAATGCAGGTCTGTTTCTTAATTGCCTCGTTTTCCGGTCGTATGACCTGAAGCATAAAATGAAATAACATGGTGTCGACATGTTTGCTGTTCTGCAGGACATGAACACTACAGTCTGATGTCCTAAATAATCAAGACGGCATCATGAGTTGAATTCTTACCCTTGGCCAAAACGTGTTATCCTGACAGGTTTGGTAGGGCAGCTTCAGTTGTGGACAGTTGTTGCTGTAAGTGGGGGTTTGAGCGGTATCTGTGGCCCAAGTGTCGAGATGCACCCCAGACCCTTGACACAAGATCCAACACCTTCATCAATCCTAAACCCTATACCCGAAACCCTAACCCCCAAACGCTTGACCGAAGGAGTACCTGAAGTCATCGCACTCCCCCAAAGTCCCAAATGGGGTTTCCGACAATAGGGGTACCGTAGATAGTAGGATCCTTACTATAAGGAGCCCAAAATAAGGCACCCCTTATTTTCGGACACTCCCATGTTTTATCACCCTGCTTACCAAGTCCTCCGACCCTTTTAGACTTGCAGGGCTCTCCTTCAGGAAATTAATACAGGGGCCTTAGTAGTTAGAATAGGGTTTTGGGGGTTCCTTGCTATAATTATAGTAATAATATACCCCAAACCCTATTCTAACTATTAAGGTATATATATATATATATTATCATGGCGTGGGCTTTTGGGTCGAATCTGCAGAGTTGACAGGTTTAGTAAGGGGTTTTCTCAGGGAGCCCGCAGCCTCCCTGCTGTATAACAGTCTCATACTGGAAGTCTATCTGGGTCTTAGGTTCCCCTTCCGGGCTTAATGTGGATTAAGTAGGAATGATTTATATTAAGATGCTCATCCTCAAAGCGCTGTGGGTTCCAGGATCCCCAACTAAGGTATTGTTCGCAGTCCTGGACGCACAAAAGCCCTTACAGAACACCCTTGCAAACCCCAAAGCACTCAAAATCTTCTTAAATTCTCCAGGCCACCGAAGGTGCCCGAGGAAGTGTTTGAGCCCCTGAGCGCGAAATGGGAGCCCGGGTTTTGTCTTTGGATCTTTTACTGGTTTGTCAGAGGTTTTGGGGTGCAAGGGTTTGGGGCTTTAGGGGCTTTAGGGGCTTGGGGCATAAGGGCTTAAGGGTTAACAGCTTCGGTGCTTCACGGCTTCGGGATTCTTGGGACCTCTTTGAAGCTCAGCGTTTCAGGGGTCTTGCGGTTATGTCCTCGGGCAAATACCTCCAACCGCAACGCTGGGGGACCATTAAACGTTAAACCCTAAACACCTACGGCACTTCATGGAACCCTTGTAAGTTCAGGTACCCTGCAAAGGAACCTCAATCGGACCCCTCTCATAGCCAAAGCGCCTGCATCGTCGTCGCAGGCCCAGGCTTGCAAAGAGTCGGGTGAATTCCAGTGCCTAGTAGCTTGTCGGGGATACAGCAGTTTCTAGGGTGTTTGCTTGGCGAGCTCTGCAGTTGGTGGATGAGTATGCCCTGGCTGACGAGTTTCTTGAGGGCATTGTTGCGAACCGTGTTGGTCGCTCAATCTGTTGAAAGCAAGTTTCTGCAAGAATGCCTGCTTGCTACTATGGAATCAACAGAAGCAAGATGAGCATAATATAGGGGCCTTAATAATAAGAATAGGGTTTTGGGGCTCATTTTACTATAGTTATAATAAGGAACCCCCAAAATAATGTAGGTAATTATTGAGACCCCTATACTAGATGTCTGTGGACGGTACATATACGGAACCCTATCCAAGCTTCCTGCCGACTGCTGACTTCCCCACTGCAAAAAATATCCTGCCCTCTTTTGGCGATTGCAGCAACTCCACGAAAGGTGAAGTTGTAAGACCAAAGGGCGACTGAAGCCCGGGCATCGGTCTCGATGCATCTCCCCAGCACAGACTGCCCAGACCAGGCTCCCTCCCCCTGCCCTGCACCTCACAAAGCCGAAGCCGGGGGCCCCCAGATGTAAAGCCACGAAGCAAACAGAGAGAGCTATTCATGGATGCCCTGTAGGACATCGGAGGCCCCAAAGCGCTTCACCGGCAGGGTTGACTCAGTCAGCCAGCGGCGTTGTAGGAATCTCTCTTCATGTCGAGGACGCCTAGGACAGCTCAGGACTCCTTGAGGCGTTGCTCCTTAGTTGTTCTGGAGGTCGAAGCAGTTGCTGCTGAGTTTCACGGTCTTTGGGAGTCCTCATACAGCCTATAGCCTCTTATTCAGAAGTCACAACACCTAAAGAGACAGTGGTGGCCAAGAGCACCCAAGCATCCAGCACGTCAAGCAGCTGACGAACCTTCTGAGGAGATGGCATCTTCCTCTTCGCGGCCAAACTTCTCTTCAACATCTCGTGAGCCTGCTTGACGCAGACTTCAGCCATCCTGTCTTGGATCACAAATGGGCAGTATCTACCCAGCCAAGTCGTCATTTGCGGCTCGATCTCATTCACGAAGATACGATATCCAAGCTTCCTGGACTTGTCAGGAATGATGCCGATGTCGATGCGATTGAGCAAGGAATTGATACGCTTACCTTCCCACTTGTGAACTTTCTTCACCTCTTCCATTGTCTGGATGGCCAGCCTGCTTAGCAACGTCAGTGAAAGCATGACTTCACCAGAACGAAGCTGATCCCAAGTGTTTCTCCGGAGAGCAAAAAACCGACAATGATTCTGCCCGTAATGGTGGAAACCAAGTATGTGACCCAGATTGACATGCTACGCCGCTAGACCACACAGAGCACTGCAGACACTTGGTACCGCAGGAAGCGAAACTACGTTGAAAATCTGATCCGAGCGCATGTTCTCGCCCCAGCTAGCCCAAGACGCTGCACAAAACGACAGCTGCACACCGCCCAGCCCTAAACCAGAAACCCTGAACCTCGTGAGGGCCAAGCCACTTCTTGCAAGCCTCCTTCAGCTTTCCCTCGGGCTGCTCCCAGAAGCCTTCATAGTCAACTCCGTCGGTGTAGACGGAATAGGCCCACTCGCCATCACAGAAGAAGTTTCGGATCTCGTCAAAAACCTCCCCGTTGGGCTTCAACATGTATGGTTGCACCAGAAACCTCGGTAGTGACACACCAAAAGCCCCCGAAGGGCTGCTGCCGGTGATTGACTCGAATGTAAGTCAATAGCAAATGTGCCTGCGCAGCCAAGATGCTCCTTCTGATGCTTGTTCTCAGCCTCGTATTGGAGGAGTGGCTCTATGTTGTCTATGAAGTCTTGCGTCTTTCCTTGCGACTCAGAGCGCTCCCATGTCTCCCAGCCCTGCACCCCTACCAGGCCCTACTGTAGCGCCCTCTGAAAGCAAAGGAAGGACAAGGCCCAGGTTCCGTTGATGACGCCAGCTCCAAAGAAGCTCATGTAGGCCGGCTTCACGAAAAACTTGTCCCATCCTTTCGCAACAATCTTCTTGAGGACATCTCTAGCATTGAAACCCTTTTCGAGGTGAATCGTGTCGATCATCGGGATGCCTGCTCGCTCGCAAGCCTTCATGTAGCGCGACTTGTGAAGAATCCACTCGTAGTAATCCCACACCGGATGATGTCGGAAGTTGGGGTTCATCTGAATCTTTTGCAGCCTCTTCGCCAGCTTCGGCTTCTCGTTCATCAGGGCGATGCTCATGTCACCCCAGAAATTGAAGGTGAGATGGTTTCTGGAGAGGCGCTTCTCCGTGACCTGCTCCATGGTCATGAAGTCCACATGAAAGATATCAGGATGCAGCCGCATGATCTTCAGACCTGATCCGGGTCGAAGCATTCTGGAAGGCTCTAGTAGCCATCGTAGTAATCCTACTTGCAGCACCCTGCACCCAGCCTGTCGACACGTCGGCCATGAACTGGCCGCCCCAGCCGTCAGCGTTGGGCCCCGTGTTGTTCTTGATTTTGAGGTGCTCCTTGATCCGTGAAAATATTCGAATGCAACGCCTGCTGTGCTTGTGCACAGGGAGAGATAAGCGGACAGGAAGTCACAGATAGGTGCACTGTTACAGATGCAAATCTCGTCAGGCAGCGCTATGCGGCTTTTGGTTTGGCTTTGGCGGCTTTAACATAAAGACTCCGACATGGAGGAATGTGCAAGAACAAGGAACCAGCCATGCAAACAAATTGGGGTCATTCTCCACGGTATGGCATCGTATGCTCATACATGGTAGGCTGTGTTGCTGATGCATGGCGGCATGAAGACAACCGCACCGTAAGCATCCGGCCGGATAGTTCCGATCATGGGTGCCGACCTTGATCGGGTCGAAAACCTGGACGTTGTCACTTCAAGAACCCGACATGGCCCCTGCATGCGGCAGGTCAGCCTCATGTAGACAGCTAATGCTCTTCCATACCGCCACTAGACGGCAACTCCGAAGCCGCCTTGCCGTGGATGATCCCGATTCGTATCTTGAAGTTGCCCAGGCCAGCTGGAGCTGGTGTCTTGCTCCTCGTACCGAATGTGGGATGTGCTAAAGTTTATAAGGTTTAGGACACTTCCAGGCATGGACACCCGGAACTCGTGCCGGCGAGCATCATGGCAACCTTGGACTTGACCTTTTTCATGGAAACCTTCTTCATGGCAGCGGGTCTTTTGCTCACCTCGCTGGGGAAACACAAAGGGAGCCCGCGAAAATCAACAGACTAGTGCAAGTCCAAGTAGTAAAGCAACAGCATAACCACAACAACAACAACAACAACAACAACAACAACAAGATCAGCAGCAAAAACAAGAGCAATAAAGTTAACTAGACCAGCACCACCAGCACCACCACGACCACAACCACGACCACAACCACCACCACGACCTCCGCCACCGCCACCGCCACCACCACCACCACCACCAACAACAACAACAACAACAGCAGCACCAGCAACAACAACAACAACACCAACAACCACAGCAGCAGCAACAACAAAAACAATATGCACAATAACAAGAACGATAATCATATCACTACAAGATCAACTGATCAACTGCGAACAACTACCAACAAACACCACACTACACTCCAACCCCCGAACACCAAACTACTAGTACTAGTACTGCTACGACTACATCAGTGACGCTGCGCTAGGATCATCCCATGTTTGAGTTCTACCCACCTTCTCAACCAATTTGAGTAACGCTGATGCCAACACAGGGAATACAAGCGACTGTCGACCGGACAGATCCACACACACCACACACGACACGGCACGTCGCTGACGGACGAAGATAATGTTGTGGTACTGGTTCGACTAGCAGTAGCAGTTTCATGATCAATGTTGACAACAGGTTGGGTGGCTATGACGACAATGGTATGATAACAAACAACATTGACAGTGATTGGCTTGATGGCAACTGGTGGAGCGTGATGCTTCGTGACAGGGCCAATCGAAACACGCATCACACAAGAAACAATTCCGATGGTAGTCGTAATCTTTGTCAGAGTCATGTTCAACAGCATCATCGTCGCACCCCGCTAGAACTGTCGCCACTAGCATCGTCACCGGGTTGATCGACGGGATGCCTTCATTGCCTTTGCCATGGCTGCAAGATCCCGCGTCGCCGGCCCAGAATTAAAGCAATATCAGCTCGAGCCACAGCCACACCAAGCTTTAGGCTTCAGGAATTCCCGCTGGCTTCCCTATTCGGTATGCGTAGGGCAGGATTCTTTGGCCACTCAAGCATGAAGTTATACCGTTAGACCTTATAGATACTGGGGCTACTAGAATAGTATCGCGGATTATTTGGTTCCCCACACGACACCCATCCTTCAGCAGCCCCCTTGCCTCGAGTGAAGGCTCGGCGCGCTCGAGGTCGTCTGAAGCTTCGGTGCCTTCGGAGCCCACTAATATCAGAGGCATTCGTATTCCACAGGCACATACAAGTAGCTGCTGTAAATCAATATTGGCACGGTTTTGTTGGTGTTGCTGTTGTCTGAAGCGTCTTCGTCTTTGCAGTCATGGTTGTTGTTGCTGCAGCGGCAGGAGTAATCGCGTAATAGCAAAAGTGTCGTAGAAACTTAACAGCCGCATTTGCAGCAGCAGCAGCAGCAACAGGAGGAGCGCGAGCAGCAGCAGCAGCAGCAGCAGCAGCAGCAGCAGCAGCAGCAGCAGCAGCAGCAGTCGTAGTAGTTATAGTAGTAGTAGTAGTAGTAGTAGTAGTAGTAGTAGTAGGCGGAGGAGAGAGTAGAAGTAGGAGTCGGAGTTGGGGGAAGAGTAGGAGGAGGAGGCAGAGGAGTAGCAGCAGCAATAGGCTCGTTAAGCCCTTATGCCTTGGGCTTTGAACCCCGCGGGCTTTGAGAAAATGCTCCAACAACACACCGAACCTTGTTGAATCTTAGCTTATCGCCTTTTTGTCATGATTTGCCCCGTTAGTCTTAATTTGTCATTCTTCGTCTCTAGTTGTCTTCATTTGTGATTGAGCTGTTGTTGTTGTTGTTGTTCATTGTCTTCATGTGTCTCCATTTGCCTTGATCACGCTAGTTTAGTTGTCTTGAGTGACTAACCTTTATCCTATTGCTGGCCCGTGACTTCGTGCTCCTGGTCCAATCCTGACTGCCCTCCGCCCCGCTTCACAGCCCGAAACTCCATAACCAAAAAACAAACTTAGGCGGAATAGAAGCACAGGCCCTTAAAACTCACATCAGCAGACATGACTACAACTGCGGCATGACCCTGGTAACATCTTATTGAATCTTACTACGGACATGATTGGAATTGCGGCAAGATACCGGGAAAATCTGATCAACACTTATTGAAATCTTGGAAAACCACGGTTTCCACTCTCCCGCACCCCTCCGCCCCTCCAAGATTTGTTCAGGTCTTTTGAATCATGTACACCCTTTCTCGGATGTTTGACGCAATTTTCGCACTTTTCGTGTTAACGGGATAAACCTTACAAGTCCATCTTAATTAATATCTCGACGGCATCTTTTGTACGAGCTTTGTCTTCACTAGCCTGGCATCATGAATTAATTGTTGTCTTAACTTATCATCTTTGCCAAGGTTTGTCTTAGCTTGTCTTAAACGCGGCTTTCAGCAACGATGCTTAACGGCCCGACGCTTCAGGGCCTTGCAAAGCCCAAAGGATAGCAGCAGTCGTCGTCGTAATAAGCAGCTGAATCAACCAAAGCTGCTGAGGGAAACTTGGCAATGCAAATCTGCAGACGCGCTGGGGACAGAACCGAAATCGGCCGACTGGCAGATTGCGATGCGCACAGCCTTAGAAGTTCTGTTCGGACTGAAGGACTGTGCGCTTGGTTCATTTGGTCCACGGTCATGCTCAGCAATGTCAGCTGCACCGGCGTGACCTAAGATACTTCACGTTTCTAGTTTTTCTCACTTTGGGACGACGACGATAACGACGAACTAACAGCAGGAACACGGTAGCATCACTACAGCAGTCATGTAGACGTCACTGCTAATTACATTACGTGAACCAGCCACACTCGAAGTTGATACGGATAAGCGACGACAGCTTGAGATCTAAAGCGAACAGCAAGTGATCACATCACATCTAGTCTGTCCCAGCAACTTTGCGAAGCCTGCTTGCTTTCGAGGTGCCCTTTAGATGATCTCGATCCTGGCCTGGCATTTCAACATCTGCGGGAAGGCGATCCTTTGGGCCTTGAGTGCTCGGCGTCTGGTGTCAGTACGGTGAATTCAATTGTTACAAATACTAACGGTATCGCTCTTGCCTACTACTGTGTTTGAGGCCGCTGGTATTGCTACTACTACTACTACTACTACTCCTGCTGCTGCTGCTGCTGCTGCTACTCCTCCTCCTCCTGCTGCTGCTCGCTAGAATAGTTCAGTGTGATACTTACACTTTTCTCTGCCAAGACCAGCATACTATGTGCACGCATGAATGTGTGAATGCCACCCACTCAAACTATTCATTCTTTGTACTTCCTCCCAGTGTTACAAACCGACTCCCATGCTACTGGCTAGAATTTCAATGAGCCTGCCTAGAGGCAGTGTATGTCGCCTGCAGCGCAGTGGCCTTGCGAAGCGAATGCAAATGGCCAGGAAGATTACAGCACGCCAACAACAAGAATAGTAACATCAGCAGCAGCAACAAGATACGGTAGCTGTAAGATACGGTGGCTGTCTGAAACAAGAAGGCCGTTTCATTTCGAGATATTTCGACGGCATCATCAAATACCGTAGCAAGAAGGCTGGTAGCCAGGACTCAAATCGAAAGAACGGTGTGAGTCTACCTGATAACACTGCGAGTGTAAATCTTTTGTGTCTCTCCACAATTTCTTCTTCGGGTCAAGACTACCTACAGTAGTAAGTGCAGTGAGTATAGCAAGACTATAAACAACAAAACGCCCGAAGCCCAATGAGTCCCAGGAGTGCTGACGATGAGGACATGCGGAGATTCTAGCAATAGCCTGGGGCAGCAAGCCCCTTTGCATCAGACTATGTCAGTCTCAACATCCCAGATTAGCAAACCAAAATGACAAAATGACACACGAAAAGTCTCGCAGGATAGCTTCGTGAGTTCGTCGTTGAGCTTTGGTGACTGGCACCAGAGTGCGGCTGCTCGGATTGATACGAACGATGTTCTCATCTTCCACGCACATTTGTAGACATGATGTATCGGCTGAAGGCGGCGCTCGTCGTCGCCGGTCGTCGTCGCTGTCGTCCCAGCGGTTGTCGTCAGGTGCAGTCGTCGTTGGCATCGCACCCTGTAAATAGAGGCAAGTGGCAGAACATGTGCAAAGGAATGGCAAAAACACAACAGTCCGAACGCAAGCTCAGCCCAGCCCTCTGCGCTTCCACAAAGCCTAGTATTTAACACTGTGTGGTTCAGGGCTTCGGGGTGCAAGGCCAGGGTAGGCCTTTGGCTGCAATCTTTGAATCCTACAACTTGGCATCGGATTTTTAAGTCCCCGGCTGATCCTGGACGCTTTAGATCTAGTGGTAGCTGCGGCCTGGCCATGTTCAAGTGCCCCTTTTCGAAACCCCTGTATTGCCTGTTCCCTACTACAATTATAGTATAATGGGCCCCGAAACCCGTATTTCCGTATGTGACCTCGTATGCCTAGCAACAGCGGAGGAGTAAGCCACCTCATGCATATCAAACCAATGGCTGCTCCCCTGGACTTCTTCTTCTCACCCAGAGACTCCAATATCCCTCAAATAAGGAATATACCTTAAATTATAGTAGGATCCCTAATATGATTTAAGGTATACTCCTTAATTAAGGGATATTGGAGTCTTTGAGCAGCTCGGCATGTGATGGAGAGCTTATGGTACCATCGGCACGAAGGCGCATTCTTCCGTTGAGTTCTGAGGTGACTCTAAGCCCTGGTCACACTGATCCGCACTGCACCCGCAGGCACTTGTGAGTATCGAGCGCAGAAGTGCTCTTTTGCTAGTTGTACTACTATCAGCTGCTCTTCGAAAGGCGCCTTGACGACGATGACGAGATTTATGGCGATGATGATGACGGAGGAAAGCAACGACAATGTCGATGATAATGATGGTCGGTGGCACGGCGGTCGCGACCATGACCATATGGGTGATGATGGTGTAACTGGCAGCTAGGCTAAAGCTTTTGCGTAGTGGTTCCATTTGATTCCCTGGCTTCTTTTCTCGTCCTCGTCCTCGTCCTCTTCGACAGCTAGTCAATCAAGTCTCCTGGAGGCTTTGCCAAGGCCCCTGCTTGTGGCCGGACTGCATCACCGACTTCGCATCCTGAGCAGCTGTGATAGTCCCCAAATTGTCGGCCGTCCGGGTAGGCTTGGGGCATCTGCCGTTGTGTACTGAGACCCTGTGCTTGACTAACTATCCGTCAAAGGCTGTGGTAAGTCTTCCCCGAAGTGTTTGGCCTGCTCGGGGCCTGAAGGATTGGGAGCATCGCGCAACTGACTAGCGCTTACAAGTCTTGGCGAAGCCTAAAAGCTGAGAGCCTTTGGACCACGGAGAGCTTCCAGACCGTGCTGCAGCCAGGACACCCGCGGCTCGGCACGGGCTCAGAAGCATGGCATGTCTGACGTTGTCTTTGCGTCAGACCTGATACTCCAAGAAACAGAGCTACAGGAATGATCTCCCATAGAATAAGTCGCAAGTGTAGTTGCAACTGCTCTATTGTGACAGCAGCTATTAGTAAGCTATAGATAGTAAACTGCTGCTTGGTTTGAGCACATCATGTCCGAAGTGATACTGCTGCCCGCATAGACCGACATGACATGCGCCTTCCTTCTTTCCGGACTGGTGAGACAAGGAAGCTGCGAAGGGTTGCAAGTTGTCTTCGAGTGCATGCGGGAAGCCCGAGAACAAGTTGCAGTCTGCGGTTGAAAGACTTGGACGTGTCGCTGCACAATGCAAAGCAGAGACATGCTGCAAGCTGTCTTCTTTGTCTCTTCCCGAAAAAGGGTTCGCATAGCCTGCATTGCCTTCCCGTCTCCGCAATGCCTTCCTGGCGCCCCTCATCAACGACATAAGGGGGACTCCCTCGCCGAGAGCAAGGCTGATGGCAAGTAGAGGCCAAGGGCTGAAGCTGCGGCCAGCTCCCTGCTGCATGGGAGCTGTTGCTGCTCCAGCATCTGCCTGGCCTCCTTGGGCGAGTTTTGCCAAGCTGCCTTGTAGAAGAACGCCTCGCAAAACTTCTCACTAAGCTCCCAGTCGTGCTGCTCCCAGTGCACCTCAATGGTCTTGCGAACTGGTGTGCCAACTTGGGTCTGCCTGGCATCTTCCGCTGTGGTTGACGTCGCTTCCTGCTTGCAATCCTCGACCTGTTCGGCTTCTGCATCGTTCTCGACCTCGGCAGCCTCTGATGCCTTTGACTTGCCGGGAGGAGCTAGATCGCACGTGCCACCTCGTTGACGACGTTGTTTCGTCGGCTTGCACGAAGCAGTGACGGCAGCCTTTGCCTGGCTAGCGATCTTAAGCGTCCGTTGTTTTAACGATTAACGCATGTTATAGGTTCCTGCAGTGACAACTCGAGAACTCGCTTGAAACACCCCTGCCTTTGCTGTCTTCTTGGGCGCCTTCTTTGGCGGCTGCCAGATGCGTCCGGAGCACAAAGGAGAGCCACAATGGCAGGCGTCGGAGGACGAAGATTGCCCTCGTAGGCTCGAGTAGCTGAATGTGATCTCTTCCTCGGCCTGAATATCGCGTGCGGCGAAGACGCCAACGCGGTAGCGGCCAGCAACTTGCCAGCGCTGGGCGACACAGTTCGGCTCACAAGAGTGGTTGATGAAGCGGGCCGGGCCCCCAGCCTTTGAGGCATCAATCGCCAGACCATGAGGCAAGGACATGACGTACCTTGGATGCTCCCGTGGCTCTCATGCCTTCTGCTGTGTCAACAACGGAGACAAGGTATGGTTAACAGGACAACCAATGAAAGCCCAAGGCACTGCCAATTGGAGATGCGCTCCTGTGAGACAATATCCCCCACATACTCGGCCACAAAATGCCCATTCGGGATGGTGCGCCGTGCCCTCAGTCCAAAGCCTTTCCGGGGCCACGAAATTCATCTCAACCCGCTAGAAGTCCCCTAAGAAGCACCGGCACTTGAAATCCCAATCAGCTCCCGAGCAGCAGGGCGATCTCAGCCCTCCCTTCAGCCAGAAGAAGACTAAGACCAATGAGCCCCAACACCGAAGAGCTGCAACAACATCACTGAAAAGGAGAGAAGTACGAAGTACTCCTGGCCTTTCAGGGGTCCAGTCCAGAAGACCTCTGCGAGGTCCTCATAGTCGCCCAACTGCGCCCGGGAGAACTGGCGGTTTTCGCACTCCGCTTCCTCTACGCCACCTCCAGTGTTTTGGGATTCATCTGGGGGCCGGTAAATAGTTTCGTTTCGATCACTGTGTCAAAGGTCAACCTTCGGCGGCTGGGAACTCGGCATCGGGTAGCGTTGAGACACTGAGTTTGAGGGTCAGGCTATCGGAGGTGTCAGGAAACCGATGCTAAGACGTCAAGAGCTTACACTGCAATGTCAACAGGTAATTATTGTGATTAATACTACCCGTCATCGTCCCGAGGGCATCGCTGAGCTGGAGCGAGGCCATGCAACCGAAGGGCAGCAGTGGGGACCGCACTCCACCAGCATCACGGCGTTCAGGCAGCTCTCAAGCTTGCAGAAGCCAGTGCCTAAAGTCTCAAACTCCAAAGCCCTCAAATCCACAACCAACTCGCACCGCTCCTTTCTAGCAGCTAGCTATGGTAAAACCGAAAACCAAAATGCATAGCAGTGTCGTGGAGGGTATAACAATTAAATGGGCACTCCCACTGTCCATGTAATGATGACACAAGACAGCACCAGGAGGGCGACTGGCTGCTGTTGTCGCTAATGCTTTGCTATCCTTGTCGCTGCTGCTGCGGGTTGCAACCAACCTTGCCGATGTTGCTGCCGGCTGCTGCTGCTATGACAAAGGCTGCCGAGGTCATGTGCAGTACTCGGCATTCGCATCATGTTGGGTACTACATCCGTTGATCGAACATGTGCACGGTTGCTGATGGCGTCATTGCTCACAGAATGGTTTGGGTAACATGTGCTTCGTAACATCGTCCTGTCGATCATGAACGAGATACCTGTGGGAAATTTTCCACAGCCATTCATCTGTTAGCTGCTGAACCGCTAGCATCAAACGTTTCCTAACCGCAAACAAAGGCGCCAATGACTACTTAGTCTGGTCTTGCTGCCAATGGCATCACTCGAACCAATGAGTGCTGCTGATATTGTCATTACTCCATTGTTGCTTCAGTGATTACGGTGATTGTTCTGGCTGGCAGTATAAGTCACACTGTGGATTTCATCAGCAGCATTACCGCTTCTGCTGAGTCTTTCAGTTTTTTCACGATTCGCGCAACCAGCAAGATCAGTGAAGTGCAGTCTGGGCACAAGCGCAAGCACCCAGGCTCTGGGACGGCTCTGGCGCAAGCAACACCTTCCAGCCAAGCTCCGCCATGCTTGGGGGTTAGGGTTGAGAGGCAAGTTTCGGGCTTCGCAATGCAGAAGGATCCAGAACCGTAAACCGTATTCAAACATCTATGATGGGGCGCTGCCTTGGATGTACGCTGAGGCGCGCAGAGTCAATTTTGAGCTTGGGCGATCCGGTCTCAAGTCCAGTCCAGCTAGCTGGAAACTTCAGGACCGCTACAGCGACTCTGGTTCCACCTTTGGTGCCTTATCACTTTTGCTACTGTCCTTTCTGTGGTTGCGTCTTTCTCAAGCCCTAAGCCGTAAGCCGTAAAGAGCTTCAAATGCCCTAAACCCTAAACCACCTCAGACCCTAAAGCCCTCACAGAGCCTCTTATAGAACAAACCCCTGCTAGACCTCATAGAATCAATAGAATCCCGTCCAGAGAGCTCCCTTACAGTACCGTTTAGAGACTGGTGCAGAACCCTAAATCATTTGGGGTTCCATATTTTTATAATTATAGTATAATATACCCCAAACCCTATTCTAATTATCAAGGCCCCAATACCCTCAACTGCGGCCACCGCCGACCTCGCGGCGGCAACGGTTGTGCCAAAGCCTCTCATAGGGCGGAAGATCTGGCACCTCAGGGGCTCAGAGGGCGTTTCTCGGCTAATGTAGGGGCCTCAATAATTAGAAAAAGGTTTTGGGGTATGATATACTATACTTATAATGAGGAACCCCCAAAATACTGTAGGTAATTACTAAGGCCCCTATATTATGTTTCTATCAGATAGACTCTATCTTCTTATCCATCTATCTGTTTGTTGGGTCTGGGGGCAGGTAGCTTGTGCAGCTCATGTTTCCCGACTTTGTTGCTTGAGGTTCAGTCGGGAAAGCCAAACACATTTGACACTCGACTTGATGTGAAGAGAGAAACTGCAGAACATGCCCCATTCAAAGTCAACGGCTGCATTTTGGCGTCTGGGATTACAGCCTCGCCCACAAACTCTCACACCGCAGCGATCGGTGATGTACATGTAGCAGCAGTAACAATAATCATAGTCACACTCATAGCACAAACTCAACATGTGCTGGTCATCATCTTGCATCTTCCGAAACATGGCATTTGGCATAAAGTTGATGCAGAACGCACATGTAGGGGGCGGACAAAGGCACACGTCACAAAAAGAAAGGGATGCAACTTCGGTTGCAACTAGGCCTAGAAAGGTCGGCATCTCCCTGCAAAGGGCTTCAGGCCTACGCCGGATCCCTTTTGGGGGCTCCGAAGATAGCAGGTTCGGCCTCCTGCGCCGGATCCTCGCCGGGCCGGGACTGCAGCGGACGGCGCTTGTGCAGGCGCTTCTTGATGCAAGCCTCGTCTCACGACGAGGTAACAACCGAGAGGAGTTGTGTTCGCAGCTCCTATCATGCTGATGTTAATACGAACAATACTCTAAGTACTAGCAGTCACTGGCAGTTCCGCAGGGAAGAACAAAACATCACCGAACGACAAGACTGGCTAGAGCAGACTTCGCTTTGCCCGTGAGGGTATGGGTGTGCGGTATTTAGGGTCAACAGCCCTGGGAGCAAAACTGCAACCATCATGCCAGGCAGAGACATCTCCGAGGCCTCGCAAGATTCTCGCTTCATGTGCTTTGGGATTTAGTCGAAGGATTGAAGATCGGAGGTCGAGATATTGACAATTTGAGCTGACCCTCACCCCGGATAAACCCTAAAACCTATACTGCCAAGAAGCAGCGAAAGGTCGGCAGGCTCCCTGCTTCTTGCACCAGATGCCCATCCGAAGCCACAAGGCGAAGGGCCAAACAACTCCACAGAACCCTCTGCGCCCGAGCACTCGGGCCGGCCTGCAAGTCCATGTACATTCTGCTATATCTGTGTATGCATAACAACGATAATATACGGTGTGTGTGTATATATATATATATGTATGAGCCCGATACCTTTAGGGTCTATTTAACCATGTATATGTATGTCTGTATGTACGTACGTAGGTATGTATGTATGTAGGTATGTATGTATGTATGTATGTATGCATTTTCGTACAGCATGGTAGACATGGACAGCGTTCGTAGAGAATCCAAAGCACTCCTTTTGTCACGGCAGGCATTGCAATCAAGCTAGAAGCAAGAGCCACCTTGCCTAGACAAGGCTCATGCTGCAGGACTGCCTCACTTCGCCGCAACCTGCCAAGAATCCAGCCGTTTGTAAAACCGTGTCTTAATCTGTTGTTGCCAGGCCTCTCTGACAAAACCGACAAGTTTTCAATGCCTAACGCAGCTGAGACATGTGTAGGTCAAAACGAAGCGGTAGTGTCTCTGCTTCCTATTGCTGCTGTCATTTCCGATGTTGGGCGAAGCCAAACAAGGCTTGAAACACGGGACAACGAGTGCCTATTTGGGGTGCCGTGATTTTCATGCACGACAAATAGCAGCACTTTGGTTGTGCGGAGGGGACCGGGCCACGGGAAGGTCGTGTTCAACACTGTAAAGGTTCGTTGCATCCATCAGGCTTCTGTCTAACAACAAGCGTCATGCTCTGTTCACTGGATCTACTTGCACTGCAGCGGTGTTGAAGAATGAACGTAACTTTGGCACAGAGGCGATAGATTTCAGCCTTGAAAACCCGCACCAAGATGAACTCGTGCTTCCAATCTTGCAGTACTAAGGCTGATGTATACAATAGCATACAATAACTATAGTATATAGCCAGCAAGAACCATGTCATCACAAAATGAACATGCATCGACTCGCAATCATGCATCATGACCCTTGCATGACACTTGGTATGTTCCAGTAATCTCCTAAATACCAACTGCTAATCAAAATTCATGCAGAGGCCTAATCTAGGCAGGAACCTGAATCCCGACACCCCGACAAGCGAACCCAGCGCCCTTTTGGGGCTTCTGGGCAAGTACTTGGATGATCATGGGACTTAGTAACTAGGGTTATAAGTAAGGTAACTATAATTATAACCCCAATAAGGGTACTTATAACCTTACTTACTAAGTCCCATGATCCTCCAACGAATTCATTTTTGAGAGGGTTTAAACATTTTGGCTCTAGCCCGGCGCTGCGCCCAAATCCCACAACACAAACCCAATCAAGCGTCCCCGGGTGCTTTCCCAGGTGGCAGCCTGAATAAATGGCGAAAGTACTCCGCATGACAGGGTTCGAACTTTTACCAAGAATATGATGAACCTTGAAGCAGGACGGAGAGTCACGATCGCAAGCTTAATGAGCCCGAACCCTGGACCCTAAGGTTGAACAATGAGAGTATAAAAGGCTGCACTCTTTGAATTACAGCTACAGCATACTAATGTAAAGCTGACCCTATGAATTATAAGCCCTTTCACGACCCTGTAATAACCCCAAGCCCAAAAGCCTCTGTAAGCCCAATGTAAACCCTAATCCTTAAGCCCTACATTAAGAAACCTAGTCCCTAAACCCTATGTTAACAACAAACCTAATCCCTAAACCCTACATTAACAAACCTAATCGCTAAACCCTATACATTAACCAACCTAATCTCTAAACCCTCACGCCTTCTGGTACTGCGTCAGGATCGTCTCGAGCTCTGCAGCGCAGAGCTCGATCTCGTCGAGGTTTGCAGGCTCCAGGCCTTAGAGTAAAAAGGGGTGTAAGAGGATTTCATGAGGATTTTGTAGGGCTTGGTGAGAACGACGGCTTTGGGAGTGTCATAGTTTGACTATATTTTAGGCTTGAGGCCCCAGGACTAGGAAGGAGGTACGTAGGGTCTGCGAGATTGTTCTGAGCTAGTATGAGTATGGGAGTTTGAAAGATTCAGGGTTGAGGGTTCATGGTGCAAGTTTTCGGGCTGCAATCTGGCATGCTGGCAAAAGGACTAGCAGCAATACTATACAGTCTCAGTCCCAGTGCCACATGGCTAACAAAGGGTTTAGGGTATTAGGGTTTAGGGATTTAGGGGTTAGGGTATTAGGGTTTAGGGATTTAGGGGTTGTTGTGCTTCCGATTTATCCACAGCTTTACGCCCTCAAGAGATCTCAAACTCTTCAGACTACTCCTCAGCCTCTGGCCAACCACAGTTGTCCGGACCTGAGTACAAAGCTTCCTCACCAAGTGCAGCAGATGCAGGATCTGTCTATCTTGCACGCAAATCCGACACCCTAAACCCGCTTTCAGACCGAAATCTGCCGCACGGATCCGGGCGCCGTGATCCATCCACCCTAGGCCATGGCATTCCAACATGGAGCATGCAGATCCAGATTCGAAAGATTCACTCCACCCCAAGTGAGAGTTTCAGAAAAGAGGGGACCCTACAACAATGCCCTTCATAATCGGATCCAATGTGGTATCTGTATGCACATACGCATAACTATACAACTAATCGCAATCACAGATGCAAATGTAAATATAAATAAGCAAAGGTCCCGCAAACTCAAACCCTAGACAACAGGATAACAAGAAGAGCCCAAAAAGGAAGCCCGACTTTTTCTCACAACCCCTAAGATCGAACCCAGGGCTCGGGCCAAGATGCGCGCAGACCAACCTCCAGAGGGCGGAAGGGTTTAGGGTTGAGGGTTTTGGTTTAGGGTGTAGGGTTTAGGGTTTTGGTTTAGTGTGTAGGGCTTTAGGGTTTATTTAGGGTTTAGGGTTTTGGTTTAGGGTTTGGGGCTTAGGGCCTAGGGTTTGGGGTTTAGGGTTTAGGGATTAAGATCTCGGCGTTTGGGTCCCTTGGGGTTCTTTCAATCAAGGGCTTCATGCTTTTCAAACGCATTGAAAGGTTTTGCGCGGCCCCTTGTAGGGCCTTACAGGGTTCTTTATAGGGCCCTCGCGGTACGCCTCGTCATTAAGGCCGATATACTACACTCAGAGTCATGTAAGGGCTTCTTCGATTCTAACCCGATGTTTTCGCCTTCTTGACGGTCCACCTGTCTCAAGCAAGCTGCTGCAAACTGCTATCCACGATCTCAAAAGTTAAACACCAAAATACCAGAGCACGAAAATCCTAAAGAGACTTCGACACTTGAGAAACGCGGGGCGTTGAGGGCAGGAGTCGGTTCTACCCCGGGAAAAACCCAGCCTTGGCATCCAGTACACCCTGAATCTTTGCATCCTATTCGATTCTGAACCCTGCACCCTAAACCCTAAACCCAATTCAACCCTTTCGTAAACCCCTGACCCTGGACCCCAAACCCCCTTTGAACCCTAAACCCCACACCCCTACCAAACCCGAATAAAACCAACAATCACAAAATACCAAAAGGATGACACCCGATAACTTATACTGGGTTGTAGTTTGGGGCCCCTGAAAAGTATTTATGAATAGGTACCTCTTTAGAAACCATAAAAGAAATTTTAAAGTTTCCCAAATTGCCACCCAGTATATGACGCCTTGAACTTACCGGCCTCTGTCTGGAAGCCAGGAGGACAGCGGCCGAAAGCGTCCAGCAGCTGGCCTTGGGCTCTGATCAGAAATCCAAGCGAGTTTGGGTTTCGTGAAGGTCTGCTACTATAGGGGCCTTAACAATTTCAACAGGGTTTTGGGGCCATTACACTATAATTAATTATAATAAGGAACCCCCAAAATACTATAGGTGATTATTGAGGCTCCTATATTACACGACTACTCTAGTATTGATTTCTGTTCTTCCGGCGGCAGCAGCTCAGCGACCGGCCCGGCAGGGAGGCCTGCATCCTGCACAGAGGAGCCCTAATCGGGTTTAGGGTTTTAGGGTTTAGGGTTTAGGGTTTAGGGACACTCCACAGGGTTTCCTACATGGGTAAACGGTCCGGCTACAGTAGACAGAGCATGGAGAACAGGGAAGGAGAAACCCTTTCCATTGCAATTTGCTGTACTCCAACAAGGTTGGAATCTGGCGCAGGCTTCAGGATCTTGGGGTTCCAGGTTCAAACCTGCAGCCTACAAGGGACCCTCCCACTCGATGCCCTTGAATGGGCCACCGCCACCGCCACCAGCACCAGCACCACCAAGCAGCACCAACCATCAGCAACCAGCACCACCCAGCACCACCAACCAGCACGACCACCGCCACCGACTCGGCGCCTGGGAATGACGGACAAAATTGAGCAACACCTTGGCGCGGAACGCTCCACGCCCAAGGAGGAACAGAGACAGCCAACCTTGGCCAAAATGGGCTTCTTTATCAGCATTTCAGTTTGATTCATGACCTTACAGAAGCGGACCCTTCTTGTAAACCTGAATGCAGTCTTTCTGCGGCGTTAGAAACCAAAGCCGCAGAACTTCCTGAAACCTACCGCAGCGGTAACTTCTCTGATGTTCCACGTCTCGAGCCGTCCTCCGATGTGCAAAGCCAAAAGCTCAAGACATCAACCACGAAACCTCTGGAGACCTTCGTTGTTGTCAGCACCCCTTGGATTACGACGAATGCTGTGTTGGCTATCGTTGCTAAAGTTGGTGTCGCTGTTGGTAGCATCTGTAGCTGCGATCATGCTTTTTAGGCTGTGGCCTTGTTGCTCTTCTGCCGGAATTCTAAGCTGGTAAGCCCTCAAGCACTTCACCCCACACCTGTGACACTCTGACACCTGAAACCCGAAACCGCACGCCCCAACAGCCCCTTAAACCTGCAAAGCTCCAAATGCATTCACCTCATGCTCGGAAGGCTAATCCAGATCCAAGCCGAGTGGCGCTTGGCTGCCTCGACCTGCGCGGAACAGAAAAAAACATCTCCTGAATGGGTTTAGGGCCCATGCCATTTATAACAGGGCGACTAGCATCTCCTTCGGCTCTTTGGTTTCCCAGGCTACATCTGATGCTGTAGTTGCGGTCGTGAAAGATGCTTCCCTGCGTGCTACATGCATCGACGCTGCGCACATGCGTTCTGCAAAGGTGAGGGTCAGTGCTAGATGAGTGGCAAAGAGTCCGAGTATAGGATGAGATTTCTCTTGCCTGAGTTCGTGTTATACTGCGACAGTTGCTTTCATTATTCTTCTCCCCATCACAATCTTCACTTTTATTGCTGCCTTTTTGCATAACATCTTGTGAATGGGTGGGTCGTTCTTCATTGCCACACATAACTTTCACATAACCTTGCTTGTTGTTACTAATCTTCAGCGTGTTCCGCTCGAGAGTCCCTCCCCCGACTTCCGCGGCCTCTCGAGCTGTCCATCTTGAAGCGCTCAAGAGTCGCACTGCCTCCTTCTCGTGGAGCTCAGCCTTTGCGGACATTGTGGTTTAGGGTTAAGGGACTCATGCTGGAGACGCAGAGAATGCACGGTCGACCCAAGATCTATTCGTCGCCTGTTCGTGGCGGATGAGTTCCGTGTTCTAGGGTGTGTCTTGGAAATTGGGGAAGATCGGGTCAATGGGCTGTAGCTTCTGCGAGCATGCGCTTCAACAGTTTTTACCGATCCACACGCATCCGAGGCTGTGGCGCTGGAGTCACCTCAGACTGCGACATGACATGTGCTTGCACATCGCAGAATCACTGTATGACGTGAAACCAGTGCTGGCTGGTGTGTGGTCCGGGGATACCGCCGGTTAGAGCACATTTCTTGCCTGTATACAGGGCTCAACCACAACCATCAAACCTACGACGCTGATTTGCATATGACCACGCCTGTGCCGAGGGCCGGGCGCGGAGCTTTCTGCAAAGCCGCCTGAAGCTGCTGTGGCTGCAGCAGCTCTGAGGCCTCCGAGCCCCCGTGCTTCTGCAGCTCGGAGAGAATCTGGCCGGCAAGTCGCTCTGTGTTGCCAGCAGCGAAAGCCTGGAGCTTCCTCAAAGGCTCTAGGACCGAGTCTGGGCCGGTGAGGACAGCAGCAGCTGCCTCCGCAAACTCCTCTAGTGACAGGCCCAATTCCTGCAGCAGCTCCTCTCGCGCCTCTTGGTCGACATGTCTCCCTTTCGCAAAAACCTCGCAGCCCCTTGAAGGCTCTGAGATGGAACTTAAGACAGCATCTCTGCAGACCGTGGCCTCCTTGGAAAAGAGCGCCAAGTTCCAGTCCCGGTCAGCCTTACCATGTGCGAGTTGGAAGGCCATCGAATGCCGCGATGGCATGCCTTCGACTTCCTGGAGACCACATCCAGGCAACAGTTCCAGCGACAAAGACGGGGCCCAGGCGTCGAGCAGGTTCTCCTTGCGGAGTAGTCGCACTTTAGCGATCTGCCCGGTCACCTCTTGGACGTCCAGGCGCTGTTTACGGAGCTCCTGAGGCCTTGCTGAGAAGAGCTGCGCATCCAAAGCCCGGACATCAGCCCCAGGCACCACGACCATTTCCGGGACGCTCAGGACGAGTGGTTGAAAAGCAACCTTGCTCAAGAAGCGTTGGATGCCGACTTGCCACTCCAGGCTTCGCATAGTGTCCAGGTCTTGCAGAGTGCTGGTGCCACGAGGGCCCTTGCGGAGTTGCAGGACGTAGCCGCCCCCGTGGCCCCAGTCGGTGCTTTCCTTGGGGCCGCAGAGCAGGAAGTGCTGACCTTCGCAGAGATATCGCCAGTCCTGTGGATAGATGCGGCCCTCCGCGACAGACCCATCCTTCCGCCTCAGAAAGAAGGCCCCGGCGCTCAAAGCCGTGGCGCTCACGGCTCCAAGGACCAGCAGCCGCGAGAGGTCGGCCTCGACAGCCCCCACAGTCCCCAAACCTCAGTCCCTGTTACAAGTAGCACGGGCAGAACAGACCGTGTCTCTCTCTCTCTCTCTTTCTCTCTTTCTCTCTTTCTTTCGGTATTTCGTTCTTTATTTCTGTCTGTCTGTCGGTCTTTCTTTTCTTCTTTCTTTCTTTCCTTCCTTCCTTCTTTCTGTCTCTTTCCTTGTCTGTATATAACACTTTGAAACAACTTATGAACATTTGCACCACAAAAAGTAGACAAGGATTCCTAAGATCGTCCAAGGAGCCCTGTGTGGAGACGAAGCGAGCGGCTTGGTTGAAGCCGAAGCGAACTTGCAAGGGCAATCGACGCAGCTTCTGCAGAACTGCCATGGCTCAAAGCGAAAGGGCCCTAACCCCTAAACCCCAAAAGGAGGCCAATGTCAAAACCTTGCCTCCCCCTCTAGTACATGCGCCTCAAGCATTTCAATAGGGCTTGGGATATACTACTCGTTACTCTGGTATACGATTGCCAATGTCTTTATGCTTCTCATATACGAACTTCAAGCTGGTATTTACTGTTTGATATTCTACAGTACGGCACATGCAAGGTTGTTCGCGAAGAGAGCTAGGCTTCACCTGCGATTTGCCTCCACCGGTCCCGCAACTTACACCATTTATGCAGCGGGACCTTCACAGTCCTTTGTGAGTTCAGTGCCTCCGTGTTTGAGTCTTTCCGAAAAGCGGAGCATTCAGAGTTTCCCTAAACCCTAAACCCTAAACAAAGATGCTGCGATGCTGTTAGGCTGATGCCTAAACCGGCCCAATCCTACTCCCAAGTCTCAAGTCACGGACTCCTGCTGCCCGGCTTGTAAACCCTAAACCCTATAAACCCTATAAGCCCTAAACCCTAAACCCTAAACCTTAAACCCTAAACCCTATAAAACCCCACAGTTCAAGAAGGGATCTGTTCCAGTAGGGTTTAGAAGTTACAATTGCCTCGACTCGGGCTCAGGAATGAGTCGCATCATCTTGCATACTTGGAGGATCATGGGACTTAGTAACTAGGGTTATAAATAAGGTAACTATAATTATAACCCCAATTAGGGTACTTATAACCTTACTTACTAAGTCCCATGATCCTCCAAGTAACCATATCCCCACTTGGTGTTTCCGAAAAGTACCCTCAAATAGGGGTAAAGGGTCCCAAATTAAGGGTATTCGGGTTATAGTAAAGGGGAGTTTCCGACAATAAGGGGTACCTTATTTCGGGGGTCCTTATAATAAGGATCCTATTCTGGTACTATAGATTAGGGTCCCCTATTTTCGGAAACCCCCCCTTACCAAGTCCACAAGCACTAAGCATTAAACCCTAAAGCCTAAAGTAAACCCTAAACCCCTAAACCCCGAAACCCTAAACCCCGATACCCTAAACCCCGAAACCCCAAATCTCGAAACACGGCCGAGCTTCGCCTTTTGTCTGACCCGAGCTGCGGTGTGGACAGCTCTCATGCGGGCGGGTCAAAGGCCCACATTGACAAAAGGAACTGGCAAAATCCAAAAAGTACCCTCAAATAGGGGTATATGGCCGCAAGATAAAGGGTATTAGGGCCAGGGTTATAGTATATGGGAGCTGCATGAATGACTCCGTGTCAGATCGGGAACCGGTATCTCTACATCCGATAAGCCGTCTGAACTGAGTCTGCGCTGTCTATGCAGTTAGCTGTACAAAACTAGCGCAGGCAGTGCTATAGGTGACAGCTGTTCTCAGATTCCTTCAACCCATCTTCAGCTCTTCGAGCGGCGATCCTCCTCCACCACTGCCTTATCAACTTTGCCAAGCTGAGAAAGCCGCAGAAGGCACCACAAATAATGGAGACACCAATCACAATGCTGGTGTACGCATCGAGGCAGGTGGACTCAAAGTGCCCGATCAGGATCCTGGCTTGCAGGCGCAAGACTGGCGATATGACAACATGACATGCCAGAACCTGAAAGCGTGTTCGAATCGGAAAGTGCTGCTCAAGATAAAGCAAAGATCAGAAGGGACATGACTACCGTTGACACAGAACGCAGGAAATCGGCCCCCACGTGCAAAAGAGCGGTGAACATGTTCACGGCATGGCCCTCTTTTCCTTGGATGGAACTAGACCCTAAACCCTAAACCCTAAACCCTAATAGTTCCACGTACTTCTCGGGTCCAGCGCTGGGGATGCCAGGCTGTGGGCCAGTGAGACACTCGGCGAGCATGACATACTTGGAGGATCATGGGACTTAGTAAGTAAGGGTTTAGGGTTTAGGGTTTAGGGTTTAGGGTTTAGGGTTTAGGGTTTAGGGTTTAGGGTTTCGGGTTTAGGGACTTAGTAAGTAGGGTTATAAGTACCCTAATTGGGGTTATAGTTATAGTTGCCTTATTTATAACCCTAGTTACTTAGTCCCATGATCCTCCAAGTAGCACAGCCCCTCGTAGCAGTAATCCCACTTAGCCCCGCTTGCCACAGTACTCTGGCCTCAGTCAACGAAAAGAAAAATACACAAATGACTGCCCTACTAGTACGTGCACACAGGCATCGGCGGCTGTGGCAAAAAGCCCAAAGAGAAAGGATGTCAAACACGACCCCAAAAGCACCAAAGGCCAGAGTAATGTTGCCATTGACATCATTCTCGGGCAGGTCCAAAGCTACAAGGCCCCTGCATTCAGCAATGGTTTGCAAGCTTTCCTGGGAAGCACTCCAAGTGAAATAGATCAAACAACTCAAGGAGATCAGACAAACAATGACCTGCGAGCCCTCGTGGGGAGCACCATCTTGCTTCCGACACTCTACCCAGATGTTGCCCATGTACGTCAGAGCATCCACGCCCATCGAAATACAGTCCATCAACAAGGCCTGCGAGTTGGCGATTCTTGCTGCAGCCACCTG